AGTTGGCAGTGACAGATGGCAGAGCCTGGAAGAGGTGGTCCAGAGCAGGCTGTGTGGAGTCTGCCCTCAACAGAACTCTGAGAGCTATCCTGCACCAAAGAAAGAAGACTTGCCTCTCATGCTTCCTGATCCTGATTCCTGAGTTTAGTTGACCTGGTTGATGCAGGTCCTGAGCTGTACCCTACCCGTTCGTAAGCCATGTAACTGTAAATACAGTACATGAGTTCTGTGAGACATTGAAATAAATTGCTAACCCCAAACAAAGGAGGGAAGAGTCCCAGGGGAAGAAGAGGGGCTAGTGTTAGAGATGGCATGATACAGCACCTTGGAGAACGTGGAAATCTGGTATATTCAGTTTAACAAGAATTGGTTTTGTGTTGCTTTTTATATTTTGATGATAATTGTACCACTATCAAAGTATTTATGAAGTGGAAAGGAAACAGTGGATTGGACAGTGATACAGAGGTGAAAGAGACAGAATTTGCTGAAGCACTCGAAGTTCGGGAAAGGGGAAAAGTCCAGGCTGATTCAGAGATGCACTGGGTATCATCCACTGAACTAGCGCAGCCTCCAGAACGAGTGGGTTTGGCAAGTGGGGATACACACAGAAGAAGGCAGAGATCAACAGTTTTCTGGATAGCATTTTAAATCAGACTCCAGATAATTGATTCGCTTCTCTATTGCAGCACTGTTCTAAACTTTAGTGCCCCATTGTCTTGGCCATGCACAACAAAATTTGAATTTGGATTATCCTTTTTTCAGGAAGCAATGTGCTACATGGACCCAGGGAGTGCACTTATATGGTTTTATTTCAAACTATTATTGGTACCTTGATTCCGGGTACCTTTAGTAATTCAACTGTGACTCCATAGATTTTTTTATTTTTTTGCTACTTACCTCACCTGGCATACCCTGAATTTTACCAGTTCTTTAAAAGATATCTGAATAACTCACTCAAGACTTAAAACATTTGAAACTCCCAAAGAGAAGAGAGGCTTTTAATATTTCTAATGCATTAGATGTAAACTAATGACCATAAAAGAAATATAAGAATCTTCAGGTAACAAAGCATGGCGGCCAGATCATAAGACACAGAATAAAAATAAGAAAACAAATATTATCATAGGAAATAAAGAAAGCCCTAGAGAAAGTATATTGCTAATGAAAGCTTAACATTTTTTTCACCTAACAACAGAGATAAAGCATTTCACTGTTAGAACTTACCATCAAAAAGTCTATCAATAAC